TCTGTCCCCAGCGCTGGCATCTCAATTGCATGCACCATTCTGTAACAGATTGCGGCTTCACAGCCAGGTGCCCACTGTGCATGCGGAAGTTGCACTCTGCATTGTGAATGGTCCTGCAGTCTTTTGGAAAGTGCAGTCCCAGAAGACTGCAGTGGGGGTTAGGAGAACCTCTGCTTCTGATCACCTAGGCGGTCAGAGCGGAAGTGGGAGCAGGTACCCGTCAGGTCCCCGCTCCTCCCTCCCAAAAAAAGATGCCATTTTGGAAAGAGGAGGGAGGAGGAAGTCTTAAAGTGGAATTTCACCTTCTGGGTGACACCGCAAAAAAAAAAAAAAAAAAAAGTTGACAGAAGTTCTAGCTTTTTCCCCACGCTAACAACACAAGAGATGGTACTGGATATAAAAGTGGTTGTCAAGGCTCAAAGGTTTTACTTTCATGTATACAATAAAAAAAAAAAAAAAAAAAAAAAAACCCACACCTTCTGTATGCAGCAGCCCCCCCAGCCCCCTTAATACTTAACTGAGCCTCATCGCGATCCAACAATATGCAGGTGAACCTCAGCTCTCCAAGGACTCTCCCTCCTCATTGGCTGAGATAGCAGCAAGAGCCATTGGCTGTCAATCAAAGCCAGTGAGGCAAAGAGAAGAGAGGGGGAGTGGGGCAGGGCCGAGCCGTGGCTCTGTGTGTGAATGAACACGCAGAGCAGCTGGACAGAGCCCGCTCTGCTCTATGGGCAGCTGGGAGTAAGCGAACTCCGATTGCCCTTCAATCCGAACTGCCTACCTGAAGGAAGACTGATCCTACATTTTTTTTTGGCACACCAGATCAGATCAGACAGAAGGTAGGCGGATGTAAACAGAAGCAAGTCCGTTTACACCCCTGGTCCAAAGGGGTTAATGGACTGTCCTTTACCACGAAGGGTCCGATCAGGTCCACGTAAAAACTGCTAGGCAGACCTGATCGGACCCTTCGTGGTAAAGGGGCCATATTGTTTTGCAATAAAAGAATAAAGTATGAACCTGAGGAATATATTTGTCATCATGCACAGCATGCATTTATCTTTGCAGTCCTTTTATTTGTCAGGCTCTCCCTGGTGCCACCTCACTAAGGACAATGTTGTCTGCTTCTACTAGACCTGGCCACAATAACCCAAAATTGTAAAGATACTTGCCGTATATCCTCCTGGGCAGCAGTAACTTGCTCTTTTTCAATATCGTACAGTCTTACTCGAAAGCCTCCACTAGCAAACACCATGGCCCAGCTTCGGCCAATCAGACCACTGAAAGGTAAAAAAATAACATTAATGAGTATTAAGTTATCACATTATTATAAATATAGATGCACAGCAACATGTATAGAATGCAGAATGACTAATTACAAAAGCCCTGGGTCCCTGCCCAGCCCCTCACTTTTAACCCATCCATCTATATGCTCTGCTAGGAAAGGCTGCAGATGAGGTCTTCGTGTCACTTAAGGTGCTTACTGCTGCTCTGATGACAACATGAAGAAAAACCATAAAATAAAAAACACTGCTGAAAACAGACACCTATTCAGGCTACAGGCAAAAACTTCACAGAAAATCAAACATGGGTAAACATTTTTTCAGTTGAGATATTCAACAGAAATAAAGTAAACCTGCTGAAATAGAGAATATTCCAGGGCTCCCTTTAAACCTTTGCACTGCAGTAATATATGGCAAAACAAACATTATCACAACACACAAAAGACATTGTGCTGCATTGCAGTGCCATTGATTTAGACTGGCAACTCAACAAGTACAGTATGTGCAGACACATTCACACTGCAAGTCACCACAGCACAAATATTTTGAAGTGTCGCATTAAAATAGGCAGCCAGGCAACTAGCATTTTCAGAAGGAATTTACCAATGGTAGCCTTTATCTCAGTTTCGTAATAGTAGGTAAAGGTATCTTTACATTATTCCTTGTATTCCCTATGTGGTAGCTCTAAAGGGTCCTTTAGTTTTCTAGTATCTCTGTTCAACAGCGGAGGCAGTGGGACCTCCCATATGAATAAGACACTTACAGGAAAAAAAATTCTCTGTTGAGGTGAGTTAATATGACCTTGTCAAATGCACAGAACACTAGATTTTTTCTGAACATACACAACAGAGAGCAAGAAACCCAGTTAAAGGTATTGGATTATGTTCAGTGTGCTGAAGTGTTTTTATTGCCTCTAACTAAACTTAAAGGGTTATTAAAAGGCAATTTTTTATTAAAATAACAAACATGTTATACTTACCTGCTCTGAGCAATGGTAGAGCACAGAGCCGTCCCAAACCTCCTCTTCTGCATCTGCTCCCACAGCCAGTGCTTGCTATGAGGGCAGACATGTGGGCTCCCAAGCAGGGATCTGTGCTTGGCCCAGCCTTCCGCTTCCTACTCACAGGAGTTGATTGACAGCAGTAGGAGCCAATGGCTCCCGCTGCTGCCTCTGTATGTGGAAAAAGAGAGACAGTGCAGTGAAAGAGGAGCCATGTAAGTATTTAGGGGGCTTGGAAGGTTTTTTACCCTAATGCATAGAATGCATTAAGGTAAAATATCTGAAGCCTTTAGAACAGGGGTCTCCAAATTTTCTACAGAAAGGGCCAGTTTACTGTCCTTCAGACTTTGGCTATTGGGAGTAGAAAAGGTCCTGATGTCAGTTGGAATAGGCAATGCCCCATCTTTGATGTCAGAGGAAGGAAGAGCACTCCATCATTGGTGTCACTGGGAGGAATTGTGACCCATCATTGGGCCCCATTATTGGTGTCAGTGGGAGGAATGGTGCCCCATTATTGGTGTCAGTGGGGAGAATTTTGTTCCATTGTTATCAGTGGATAAAATGGTGTCCCAAGGGCTGGATAAAAACAGGGAAAGGGCCGCATCTGGCCCCCGGGCTACAGTTTAGAGACCACTGCTTTAGAACCAATTTTTAAAAAAAAAATGGTTAGGGCTCTGCAGACTATTCACCACATATAACCTTATGACTGGCTTAATATATCCCAGGCAGTTTAGGTTATAATATTTGCTGCTGGATTACATCCACTAGTAAGAGGCAAATGTTTGATAGATGATGTTTCTCTGAGTTAATGCAATTTAGTTTTAACTCAAGCTTTAGTATTAAAGCTAAAGTTTAATCTGTTTATATTTGCTTTCCTTGGTTCCTCCTTTCTCCCCTTAGGAGTATGCTAAAGCAATATTTAATTAAAACCTTTGCATTTCATTACATACCTTATTTTTAGACCCAGTGATCTCATCCCTGAGTCTCTATGATTCTCTATGCAATGCAGGCAGCTCATGGTTGGTGGAAGGATCTGGAAAAGTGCTGTACATTCCTAAAAATATTAGAATCCTGTCTCAGTACTCCACTAGGAGTTGTGTAAATATACTGTATAAAAAGGAGTTGATGGGTGGATGTCAGTCTGGAGGAGTGGGCGCTCCTGAGCAGACTGCATTTGTATGCAAACCACACTTTGTAATGCCAACATGTAATGCTGAGCCCCCAAGATTGAAAGAACTAAAGCCCAATATATGAAAGATGTGGAACAAAGATGCTTAAAAAGGCTATATGTATGTTGGGCATAAATGTACACTATACTGCCAAAAGTATTGGGACGCCTGCCTATATACAACATGAACTTGGGCATCCCAGTCTTAGTCAGTAGGGTTCAATATTGAGTTGGCCCACCCTTTGCAGCTATAACAATTTCAATTCCTCTGGGAAGGCTGTCCACAAGGTTTAGGAATGTGTCTAAGGGAATGTTTTACCATTCTTCCAGAAGCGCATTTGTGAGGTCAGGCACTGATGTCAGACGAGAAGGCCTGGCTTGTAGTCTATGCTCTAATGCATCCCAAAGGTGTTCTATCGGGTTTTGATCAGGACTGATCAAGCCAGTCAAGTTCCTCCACCCCAAACTCGCTCATCCGTGTCTTTATGGACCTTGCTTTGTGCACTGGTGCGCAGTCATGTTGGAACAAAAAGGGGCCATCCCCAAACTGTTCCCACAAAGTTGAGAGCATGAAATTGTCCAAAATATCTTGGTATGCTGACGCCTTAAGGGCTTGTTCACGCTTAACTAAATTTCTAACTCTTAGTATGGGCGTTAATGAGCTTTAGTATTGACGTTTTACAAACGTTAAAAACACTCCCCAAATGCCCTATGTGTGGTTTTGAGGCATTTTACAATTTTATTTCAGATGCTTATAAAGCGCCAACAATTTCCACAGCATTTTTACATATGTATTGTACATTCACATCAGTCCCTAACCCTCAAGGGGCATACAATCTAAGATCCCTAACTTACATTCATACATACACATACTAGGGCCAGTTTTAGACAGGAGCCAATTAACTTACCACGTCTTTGGTGTGTGGTAAGAAACCGGAGTACCCGGAGAAACCTCACGCAGGCACAGGGAGAACATGCAAACTCCAGGCAGGGGGTGCCATGGATGGGATTTGAACCAACGACCCTAGTGCTGCCAGGCGGAATTGCTAACCATTTAGCCACTGTGCTGCCCACAAGCATTAAAACCGCACCACAATAGACTTGAATGGGAGGCATTGAAAGGCTTAAACTCCTCCTGACTCAACATGAGACTTCAATTTTGAAGCAATGCTACGCTAATGCTTCATGTTTTGATAAAGTGAACAGCACTGTGTGCTGCCCATAGTATTTCCATAGGCGTTAAAAACACCCCTCAATGCCTGCTTTCAAAGCTAGTGTGAACTAGGCCTAAGAGTTCCCTTCACTGAAGGGGCCAAGCCCAACAACCCAACACCATAATCCCCCCTCCACCAAACTTTACACTTGGCACAATGCAGTCAGGCAAGTACTATTCTCCTGGTAACCACCAAACCCAGACACGTCCATTGGATTGCCAGACAGAGAAGCGCGATTCATCACTCCAGAGAACACGTCTCCAGTACTCTGGAGTCCAGTGGCAACATGCTTTACACCACTGCATCCGACACTTTGCATTGCACTTGGTGATGTAAGGCTTGAATGCAGCTGCTCGGCCATGGAAACCATGAAGCTCTCTATGCACTGTTGTGCTAATCTGAACGCCACATGAATTTTGGAGGTCTTTAGCTATTGACTCTGCAGACAGATGGCGACACTGTGCATTTCAGGATGTGCTGACCCCGCTCTGTCATTTTATGTGGCCTACCACTTCGTGGCCAAGTTGCTGCTGTTCCCAGTTGCTTCCACTTTGTTATAATACCACTAACAGCTGACCATGGAATATTTAGTAGCAAGGAAATTTCACAGATGAACTTATTGCCTAGGTGGCAATCTATCACGGTACCACGCTTGACTTCACTGAGCTCCGGAGAGCAACCCATTCTTTCACAAATGTTTGCAGAAGCAGTCTGCATGTCTAGGTGCTTGATTTTATACAGCTGTGCCCATGGAGGTGATTGGAACACCTGAATCCAATGATTTGGAGGGGGGTCCCAATACTTTTGACAATATAGTGTATGTGTGTGAATATATATATATATATATATATATATATATATATAATATATATATATATATATATATATATACATACACACACACACACACACACATATATATATATACATATATACACACACACACACACACACATATATACACACACATACACATATACATACACACACACACACACACACACACACACACACACACACACACACACACACATATACACACACACACATATATATACACACAGGTGAAACTCAAAAAATTAGAATATCGTGCAAAAGTTCATTTATTTCAGTAATGCAACTTAAAAGGTGAAACGAATATATGAGATAGACTCATTACATGCAAAGCAAGATAGTTCAAGCTGTGATTTGTCATAATTGTGATGATTATGGCTTACAGCTCATGAAAACCCCAAATCTGCAATCTCAGAAAATTAGAATATTGTGAAAAGGTGCAATATTCTCGGCTCAAAGTGTCCCACTCTAATCAGATAATTAAGCCATAACACCTGCAAAGGGTTCCTGAGCCTTTAAATGGTCTCTCAGTCTGGTTCAGTAGGAATCACAATCATGGGAAAGACTGCTGACCTACAGTTATGGAGGGTGTCAATGATGGTTTTCTGCACAAGTGGGGAAAGCCTCAAAATGTAATTGCAAAAGAAGTTGGATGTTCCCAAAGTGCTATATCAAATCACATTATTAGAAAGTTATGTGGAAGGGAAAAGTGTGGAAGAAAAAAGTGCACAAGCAGCAGGGATGAGCGCAGCCTGGAGAGGATTGTCAGGAAGAGGCCATTCAAAAAAGTGTTGGGGACATTCACAAGGAGTGGACTGAGGCTGGAGTCAGTGCATCAAGAGCCACCACACACAGATGGATCCTGGACATGGGCTTCAAATGTCGTATTCCTTTTGTCAAGCCGCTCCTGAAAAAACGCCAGAAGCGTCTTACCTGGGCTAAAGAAAAACAGACCTGGTCTGTTGCTCAGTGGTCTAAAGTCCTCTTTTCTGATGACAGCAACTTTTGCATCTCATTTATAAACCAAGGACCCAGAGTATGGAGGAAGAATGGAGAGGCATGCACTGCAAGATGCTTGAAGTCCAGTGTGAAGTTTCCACAGTCTGTGTTGATTTGGGGAGCCATGTCATCTGCTGGTGTTGGTCCACTGTGCTTCATTAAAGTCCAGGGTCAGCGCAGCCATCTACCAAGAGATTTTGGAGCACTTCATGCTTCCTTCCGCAGACAAGCTTTATGGGGATGCAGACTTCATTTTCCAGCAGGACTTGGTACCTGCCTAGACTGCCAAAAGCACCAAAACCTGGTTCATTAACCGTGTGATTACTGTGCTTGATTGGCCAGCAAACTCGACAATATTATAATTTTTCGAGTTTCACCTGTACACACACACACACACACACACAACCAACCATAACATTATGACCACCCACCATAACCTGTGAAGACATGGGGTTTATTTCCTAAAGGCAAATATACTGTGCACTGCAAATGCAGTTGCTTCAGAGCTTAGTAAATGAGGTTTCACTTTGCAAAGAATACCCAATCACATGCAAGGAAAATAAAAAAAAAACAAAAAAAAAAACAGCATTTTTGCTTGCACATGATTGGATGATAGAAATCAGCAGAGTTTTTCCTAATTTCAGAGCTTACCCTTAGATCTAGAGCAACTGCACTTGCAGTGCACAGTATATTTGCCATTAGTAAATCACCCCCACTGACTTCACTAGACTTTTGAAAGCATACTGTAGTATCTGGCACCAAACCGTCAATATCGGATCCTTTAAGTCCTTTAAGTTGTGAGGTGGGGCCTCTATGGATCAGATTTTTTTCTGGCACATCCACCAGATGCTCAATTGGATTGGACTCCTAGAGAATTTGGAGACCAAGTCAACACCTGGAACTCACTGTGTTTCTGAAACCATTCTTAAAGTCATCAGACCAGCAACGTTCTTCCATTTGCTCCATGGTCCAGTACTGGTGCTCTTAGGCCCATTATAGGTGATTTTGACTGTGGACAATAGTCAGCATGAGCACCCTGACTGGTCTGCAGCTACTCAGCCCCATATGCAACAAAACTGTAATGCAATGTGTATTTTGTCACTTTTCTCTCAGAACCAGCATTAACTTTTTCAGCAATTTGAGTTCCAGTAGCTCTTCTATTTGATCAGACTATACGGACCAGCCTTGATGACTTTCACCAGTTAACCAATTTTCCTTCCTTAGACCACTTTTGGTTGGTCCTGACCACTGCAGACCGGGAGCATCCAACAAGAGCTGCAGTTTTGGAGATGCTCTGACCCAGTTGTCCAACCATTAAAATTTGGACCTTGTCAGACTCACACAAATCCTTACACTTGTCCATTTTTTTCTGCTTTCAACACATCAACTTCATGGACAACACGTTCACTTGCTGCCTAAAATAGTGCACCCACTTTCAGATACCATTGTAACAAGATAATTAATGTTATTTACTTTAGCCATAACGTTTTGACCACTTACAGGTAATCAGTGTAAAGACACACCTACAGTATAAAGAATGGTCCATGGTCTACTCCTGACCCATACACATTGCATGCTACTTTAAGCCTGGCTTCACAATGAATACGACTCTCGAAATTGTATGACTTCAAGTGAAGTCACACGATTTAAAAAGTCGGATGTCAATGCGACTTCAGGTGCGACTTGTAAGACATCTGTGTGACTTCATGCACCCGAAATCTCCAAAACTAGTGCAGGAACTACTTTTCAAATCGGTGCAACTCTAACGAAGTTGGAGTCACGCCGATTAGAATGGTTCCATTGCTAATCATTCGGTGAAATTTGTCATGCGATCTGAACTGTCAAATCACGACAAGTCACATTGGTGTGAACAGGGGCTTAGGGCTAGTTCACAATGCCCTATGCACTAAACCACAGTTGTTTAGTGTGCTGGCAGTGCTCCATTTTGGATCTGGTGGGCCAGCGGTAGCGGGCACTGTGATGTTCGCTTCAGTGTGTCACATGGCTCCCCCTTTTTTTTGGGAACAAAATTTATTTGAAGTACACAAAAGTGACACTTCGTTCAGGTCACTGTACGACAGTGAGATGTGTTACTGAATGTTCAGTGTTACTTTTTAACCTCTACCATATAATGGTGAACGGAGGTCTTAATATCTAGACAGTTTTAGTTATGCAAAGTAATATAAGCGAAAAGATGGAAAAGATGCCCTCACTTAGTTTATGTGTAAAGGTTAACTCAGTGATGTATTTAGTTCCAAGTTCCTACACCTTCTAAGGTACTACAGTATAGCAAACTAAGTTTATAATAAGGGACCTTTGTGTAAGGTTTAAAATGAACAAATTGTATGTTTACATCTTAATTCATCATTAAAGTTCATTTTCCTTGGACGTGTAGCAGGAAAAAAATAACAGGATACAGTTAATGTTTATCAAGCATACTCTGAATAGAGATGGTTATATGTTAGCTTAAAAACTTTTTTTTTTTCTCAGTGTTTTACATCCTGATAAATCAATGTGTTGGTATAGCGCGGCTAGTGGTATTTGCTAAATAAATGATCAGCACAAACATTCAAAATAGGATAGACAAGTGCATGTAATATTTAGCGGAATTTTACAAGCCAGGTGTCTTTAAAGTAATGTTTGGTAACAGTGTTCAGTAAGAAAGGTTTCCAAATGTATGCGAGCACTTCTTGAAGTAAACTTTTCATGATAGAAATAGTAAGGCTGCATTGCTGACCTACATTTGGAAAGTTAGGGCTTTCTGGTTAAGTTTATGCACAGGTTTCAGTACTTTAAAGAGGAACTCTGAGATTTTTTTTTCCCCATGCTGTGCCCACACTGCATGGGTTAATTGCTCATTTTTGTTTGGGGGTTTGCAGAGCAAAGATTTACTTACCTAATCCACCGATCTTCCAAATGCAACACAAGTCTCCGCAACTTCTGCCCCCCTAGCACACAAGCGGTCTCGTGCATCAACCGTTCCTGAAGTCATCACGCTTATGGATCGACTCTGGGCGTGAGGACAGCATGAACAGTCCATCAATGGATGTAGGAGAGTGGTGTTTTCCAGGGAATTGACAGATCAGGTAAGTATAGCTTTTCTGTGCACCCCTGGACAAAACAAGCAGTTAACTCATGCAGTTCAGGCACAGCTCCACTGCTCTGTCCCTCCAGCACTCACTGGAGCGCCGCAATGTGGAGGGGGCGGGAAAGGCTGGGTCAGGCTCTCAGCAGCGCACCGAGAGGCTGAGCTAGCTGCCAGTCAGGAGCAGCCTGGACAGGAGTGCAGAAGTAAGTGTACTCCTGTGACCCACAGGAGAAGTAGGGCTGAAGCTGCTTTTTACCATACTTCTCCTTTAAAGCCTATACACACTTGGGAATTTTAGGCAAAATGAAATGCATGTAAGATCTGTGTCATCATAGACAAATCACACAAATGTGCCAGTGACTGTAATGGCACAGATGCCATTGTGCATTTTGCAAGTACTCTCTTTCTTACTAAAAACAAACTCTTTAAAAAGTCTGTACCTGCAAAGATGCAAAGGAATACTTACCTCTTCTTCTGCTGCCCATGCCACCGAACACTACTCTGATGAAGAGTAATCCCCAGCTGAAGTATCTTCAAAAACTGACATGTCTAGAAGTGTTGCTTTCCTACATACCATGCAGTGCACATTGGTTCCTCCTGCTGACCCCCACACCACAACAGCACTCAGTAGTGACATACAAGTTGGCAGGAGAAACCATAGCGCTTAACTTATACAGCTTCAACCAGGGCAAACCCCAGCCTGTGAGTGCAAAATCAGATCACAGCAACACTCTGAACAGGTCATACCTCTTATCTTGACCTATAAGAATGCTTGCAAGACACAACTGGCTGCGCT